AAAAAAATTAAGAGAATGAATGATTGAATTTGGAATAAAATCAATTTTACTTACTGCCAATTTCTCCCTCGAAGAGAGAAATCACTCGGCATGTGCCAACATCGGCGGACCTTCTCCTGGTGCAAATCATTAGTAAATTTTTTGCTAATGATTGTAATCAACCATAACCCTTTCTACTTGTCAGAATGCAAGGTGATAGAACACTGCACACAAGTATTCCTCCGTGCTCGAAAAAAAAACGAATGTACCCATTGATGCTTAATAAACTGTAACTTCGAAGCATTCAATGTTCATTTATTGGGATAAATAATGGAATAATAATATGGACAACGATATAAACAACGGACCAGAGTGTATGTAAATATTAATGTCGATAACGTAGGAACTACCAATGATCTGCTGGGCGAGGGGGGGGTTGACAATGATTACTTACCGCAGCTTTAACTAATAAATGATGATTGCACAAACGATAATAATATCAAATTCGTAATGTACAAACGATTTCCTTTGAGATAGACCCCTAACTTGAGCTGATTGAACAGTTTGAAATTGTTGTCGGCTAGAATCATGCCAAAACTTCATTAATTTTTTTAAATTAATTGGTGGGTGTACAAACAAAAAAAATCACTGTACAATCATGTACTAACGATGTACAATCGAGTACATAAGATCATTTTTCTAATTAGTGACCTATGTCGGCTAGGTACCTGGGGGTGTCAAACCCCCCGATCCGGGCCTCTACTCAGGTCTATCCGCTTTGGATATTCTTCTGGAAGATAACCTATAGTATGTTATGTACTACTTGGAATTGGACTTAACCCACGTGTCTGGGTGAAATTTTCCAAAAATTATAAAATCAATTTATTGCGCAGTTGAATTTGTAAGGCAAACATCCGACAGACATTTAATTGTGGGAAACAATTGAAAGAATTGAGTGAGCAATCAGTCACAAAAATGTGGCCCAGAACATTGTTAAAGGGGACGGCGACTCTCCCGCCGAAGCAGATAGGTTGGAGCCGGTACGTACTTCTTCGCAGATATGCGACGGAAAATCTAGGAGAAGAATTACAGAAACCGTCAGAATCCGAAGCAAAGGTGACAGAGCTTTTAAACGATGCAGCGAACTTCAATGAGATAGGAGACCCGTCTTGGCAGACATCTCCATACCCTCAGACTGCGGCAATTCCAGGGAAAGAGGAGAAGATCCGTCAGGATCCCACTCAAACATCAATATTAATGTTCCCCGGCCAAGGAACGATAAAAGTTGGATATGTAGACGAGTATTTACGTTTCCCAAAAGTTAAAGAGATTTTTCAAATTGCCAACGAAATCCTTTGTTATGATGTATTAAAAATCCTCCAGAAGGGACCGAAAGAAAAACTTAATAGAACTGAATTCAATCAGACGGCTACTCTCGCCCTGTCACTCGCAGTAATAGAAAGACTCTGGGAGGAAAGGCCCCGAGCTGTTGACAATTGCAAAAGTGTGGCAGGTTACAGTGTTGGAGAACTTGCTGCGCTCGTATTCTCCGGATGTATCAGCATGGAGGATGGCTTGAGACTTGCTGCAGTCAGAGGAGCTGCTATGCAAGCTGCTTCTGATAAAGAACCTCAGGGGATGCTTTCTGTTTATTGCAAGCCCGCCAGCAATATTGCGGAAGCTTGTGAAGAAGCTAAAAGATATGCTATGGATGTAGGGGTTTCTGAGCCGGTTTGCAGGTGAGTGAAAAATGTTATTCTACAAATGGATAGCAATTGACAATAGCCATAGGGGAGAGTGGGGCAAAATGAAACAGTCGAAAAACTACTGCTTGACGCAATGCAAGCAACAAATTTTTTTGTATCCCCCGGGTGGATTATCTTTCGAACGTGATCTTGGCTGTTTTTTTTATTTTGATAATCTGAAATGATCTCCAATTGCTATTCAGTGCTACATAGCCCTGGAGTCTCCAAAAATTATGATTGTACAATCAAAACAACGTTGAAAAAACTGAACATTTTCGAAGGACGTCTTTAAATAATATTGGGAAATAAACCCAATAGGAAGAAAATTACAAATTGATAATTTGACGTATCTAATGGCTGGTAGGTCGTTATTTCTCACAGTATTCAATGGTTGTCAGATCGTTAGTTACCATGATAAATTATCTATTCACTATTTCTGCTCTATCGGACTTATTTCTTAATCTTTATTAAAAACGCTCTGAAAATGTTCAGTTTTTTTTTTACTTTTTTTGATTGTACAATTATAATTTTTAGGGACTCCTGGGTCATGTAAAATCCCATGGAAATTGTGATATATTTTATGTTATGAAGATGGCAAAACAATCGAGATAACGTTCGAAAGATAATCCACCGGGGCGTTAAATTTTTTTTTTAACTTTTTTTTATTGTTGGGAGTACTAATGAGAGTAATAATTTTCCATTCAGTAGAATGGAAATCTATTGAGAAGTTTTGACGGGAGAAGGTTTTGTCAATGGATTAATTGAAAAGAAAATGAAACAGCAAAATCCAGAGTCCAGAGCAAGGCCCAGGGGGAAACTCAGAGCGGGACAAATGAAAATGTGATGCTGAATTTCAATCGAATGAAGAAAGAAAAGTGTAATCGGCCTAATCTAATCAATTGAATTATATAACGAATAGAAAATTATTATTTTCATTAGTACTCCCAATAATAAAAAAAGTTAATAAACAAAACTTAATAAAAAAAATGTTTTTGCTTGAATTGCTTCAAATAGTTTTTTGGCTATTTCATTTGGCCCGACTCTCCCCTATCCAATTTAATTTTTCCGCAAATTGATTGCAAATTTATTAAATAACTTAGAACATGCCATCACCCGAGAGCCTCCAGTGAAGTATTTATATTTAATGTAAAGTGTCAAAGTGATTATTCACAGAAAGAGAGCGCGAATATTAAGAAAAGATAAGGATGAATTTTGTAAGATTGGGAATGGATGAGAATGACAGCATAAAAAGGCTTGGAGGAGAAAAAAAGTGACATGGGCTTTTTATCCTCAATTGTTGTTACCTGTGAGCTGTTTTTTCCCGATATTCATTTACTTTATGTGAAATGGAATTGACTTTCTTCAGGTTGTTGACGTAATTAATGTAGAGTCTAAATATGATGCAAAATCATTATGTGCATTTTTTAATAGAACCGTGTCGCTGGCACGATAAAAAAAGATTAATAATCAATAGCAATGACTTAGTTTACATAATAGATATTGGAGATATATGGAATGGCTAGGCGAACTGGCTTCAATCTTGTATCCTACGTGTTTTTTTTTTCTTCGAATCTTACGTCATATTATTATATTATTAACTTCATAGTTTCATATCATGATCGTTAGCATTAGATCAGTATATGGAAATTAATGCTTTTCTTTTCAATTTTTTCAGCATTGCAATTTATCTTCATCCTCAAACAAAAATACTAGCTGGGCATGAACAAGCTCTCGAATACATCGAGAAAAACCATATAAAGTTGGGATTCAGGCATTTGCGAAGATTACCTTTGTCCGGGGCATTTCACACACGATTGATGCAGCCAGCGGTGAAATCATTCAAGAAGGCACTTGATAAGGTAGATATTGAAAGACCGCGAGTGAAAACTTTCTCAAATGTGACGGGCAAACCTTACCATGATGCTGAAGACATTAGGAAACAGTTACCGAAACAACTATACAGACCTGTAAAATGGGAACAAATCATGCACGAAATTTTTTCGAGGAATCAGGGTACTGACTTCCCCAGAGCCTTTGATATGGGCTCCGCTGGAATCATGAAGGCAATACTAGGCAAAGTCAATGCCAAAGCTGCGGACTCTTGTTTCAGCATTTAGGATGTAATAAAACATGTTGAATTTTTGTACTCACAATTTTCAATGCGGCTTTATTTCAATGTGTATATCAATAAAAACAGAATGGCTCTGCGTGACATTAGTATGGCATTGGAACATTTATTCTCTTCATATAGTTTCTAAAAATCTATTGATAATTAGAAAACGTTCATAGACTAGTTATACATTTTGTTAACTGTAGGAATTGTAACGGTTCATATTATTCATTTTGAAGCTTTTTTTCGTTACTTTCGTCTATTATACTGTACAGAATGAAGAATGTAGGGTTATAATCAGAAACACGTACACCAGAAGAATATTCTAAAAAATTGAAGTGAACCATACTCGAAACCGTCTAGTATTCGAACGAATTGACTTATTTATATTAATTGGAAAAATTAATTTAATGACATAATCTTTTTCTTCCTCAGAATACCATATAATCCTCATCAAGTCCAGTGGAACCTAAGAAACGTTCCCATATTATTCGTTCGAACATTAGACAATTCATCTTATCTTGAATTTGAAATAAAGTGACAAACACACATTTAAAATTTTCAGGGTAAATGCACGTACCTTAACCGAATTAAAAAAAAAACACGTGGTTGCTGAACCTTCCAATCAAATAAGGTGCAAACGGAATGCCTCCATTTCATTGAGAATTCCAGCTATTATGATTTATACGGCCCAATAACCATTTGGTTCAAGTTTCTCAGTTATGTATTTTTTTCTTTAATTCGGTTGGAATAAGTTAACTCAGACCCCAAATGTAACACGTATTTCCTAATTGCAAATTTGTAATACATTCTTTAAAAATATTCTTTGGAAATACATAATCCACATGGGAATCCACCCAAAAGTTGAAATCTCGTTTTGATAAGATTTCTATCAATTACAATTTCTCGTTGAAACTTAAAAAAATGCATAAAATTTGATTTGATATAAAGTAAAATTTGTATTGGAGTCTATTTTTGCTCTCCATGTGCTTACAACAATTGAATACTGTGAAAAAGCAATTAATCCTAAAAAAAGGGAAAAGAAATTCTCTGTTAAATAATAATCTAAAATAGCTATCATAAAGGCTGCGTTGAAGCATTATAAAAGAGTTATTTGAGGTATTCCGAACGTTTGAGCCCAATTTTTCTCTCTACCGTAATAACGAGGAAGTTATTAGGATTCGATTCGGCCGCAGATCCTTAGCGATTTCCTAGGCTTATTTAAAAAATTGTTGAACCAATTCAATTTAAATTTGGAGGGGTTATTTTACAGATCACATGGATTACGTATATATATATATATATATATATATATATATATATATATATACATTTTGCACGCAATTACAACTGGCCTCCGCTACATCAAACAGACGTAGTCGCCTCCGATTTTTGAAAATTTTTCGGTCCCCCGCTCGAAAAACACTCCTTCCGGGTTAAATATATATATATATATATATATATATATATATATATATATATATATATATATATTTGACTGACAATCAGAATACCTCCATGATTCATTATCTATGTATATAATCACTGGAAATGTTTTGGCAAGTATTGTTATAATGTTTAACATTCACATCGAGATGAAGTGAAAAATATATTTCAGTAAATGCATAATTTCTTACTTGCACAGTCTACAGCTTTTCAATATATTACTCTCTCATGTATATACTTCTCTCATCGATGGTAATCAATATCAAATATATTAAAACTCTAAGATATCATACTCGAATGTAAAGAAATCGGCAAACTTGATATACATAATATTCAATCTTACTCCATAAATCGTCTCTATTACAAATGATTTTCATATCTGCATGAAAAAAAATGTCCTCAAACCGAGAATATTCAAACTATCGAATCAAGTATACTCATCAACGAATTAAGCATTTTCGTATCTTCAAGTAGTACATTCCTGAATCAAAAATTTTTTTTCTGTATTACTTTGAGTCCCAGGATGTTTACTGCTTATTCGTTATCTGTCTGAATCAAGAAGTTTTTACTTGTTTTTTTCACATAAAAGAATTTTCAATTTCCTTGGACGCCGAACAATTCGAAAGCATAGAAAATTGCTCATTACGCAACATTTGAACAATGAAGATTCTGCGGATTGTTAGACTGCAGCTTCTTAAAGGCTGCGAATATGTTTCGGTTTACGTACCAAGAGGCAGCAAGATGATAAACCCAAGCTGAACTTCGCTAGCTGTGACATACAAAGTGATTTTGTTGGGAATTCAACTTTCTCGGCGAACACTTTGCTCGATGAAGGAATTTCGTCTTCATGTCGATGAATGAGGGTTCCATTCAAATAAATGACGTTGGCGGCCCAGTCTTCAGGAACCGTTAGGGTTTGATAAGTGTATGTTGCTTCTCTTTCAATTCTCTGGAATGAGATGAAAAAAGGGAAATATGTTAATTTTTCAATAAAACCCTGCCGTGAAATTTACTAGGGGAGAGTGAGACAAAATGAAACAGTTAAAAAAAACGACTGTTTGACGCAATTTAAGCAAAATTTTTTTTAATGACATTTTTCTTTGTTAACTTTTTTCTATTTTCGGGAGTACTGACGAGAATAATAATTTTCCATTCAGTAGAATGGAAAATTATTGAGTTTGGATGGGCGAAGATTTTGTCAATGGATTATTCGATTGAAATTCAGCATCACATTTTCCTTTTTCCCCCTTTGGGTCCCCCCCCCCTGGGCCTTGCTCTGGACTTTGGATTTTGCTGTTTCTTTTTCGTTTCAATTAATCCATTGACAAAATCTTCGCCCGTCAAAACTTTTCAATAATTTTCCATTCTACTGAATGGAAAATTATTACTCTCATCAGTACTCCCAAGAATAAAAAAAAGTTGATAAAGAAAATATTTTGTAAATTTTTTGAAAAAATATTTTGTAAATTTTTTTTTGTTTCAATTGCGTCAAACAGTGGTTTTTTTTTACTATTTTATTTCGCCCCACTTTCCCTTATGTACTTTAAATTTGAAAATTATGTTTTTACTGTCCTAAGGCAGAATAAACATGATGCATTACATTCCTTGTCACAGCTTCAGACATTCGGATGTAGCTGAGATTAATAATAATTACCTTTAATGCTTCTTGACAGTCTTTTCCAGCACCCACGCACATTACATCAGGGCCAGCCATCGTGACTAGACCCTTGAGACGCTTACTCTCGGCAACCTGATAGCAAGAATTTGATACAGTTTATTCATTTTCATGAACTCATTTACGCCAAGGAGCTGAGCTACTTTGTTTTTCAATTTTTAACAGTAAATGAGATGGTCGAACAACGAAAATGTGATAATAGAGTTTGTTAAGAGACTATATCTGTAAAAGTTGAGCTAAACTGAAGTTTAAGTAACTGATCGGTGGAAAAACTCGCTCTATAAATCATTATAATTCATCCAACGTTATGTCCACTTCAACTTTGATCCAATTAAAATTCTCAGATGACAGTAGGCTCAATCACGCCTTGCCTTTTATAACAGTGGGAGAATACTCTTTTTCACACACCTGCACGGAAAGTTCGTACTTTGCTCCCTGATGAGCGGGAGGAAAGTACTCACTTTCATCCCGCTCATCAAAGAGCAAAATACGAAATTTCCTTTGCAGGCGTGTTAAAAAATAGCATGTGCACTTCGGGCGGGAAAACATGACCTTCCGCCCTTGATGCACAATATACTATTCTTACTTTTATGGGAACGCACGGATACTCGGGAAATGCAGCGGCTACTGCCCGGGCTCCGGCCTCATTTGTAAATTGAGAGAGTCCAACGAAAAATTCCCGACCTGCAAAATAATAATCGTCATGATCATTGTAAAAAAATTAAAACTTGCATTCTCTAATAGAGTTCAAACCTGTGAAGAGAACATCACCACCGTCAAGCCTGGCGTTTTTATCTGCAATTTCAACGAGAGGAATTTCCAATTCTTTTTTCAACACCGCTCTGATAGTCTCAATCTGTGAAGAAAAATAATGATAATAATATTATGGACTAGAAAATAGAGTACCTACACATCGAAGAACCCGAATTAATTAACACAACAATTCAGCCACATATATTTAAGAAATGGAGCGGTAAAACGTAACAAATCCATTTGATATGTCTTCAGATGTTAAATTATCATGATAACAAGAAATTTCAGGAGAAAATGACCGAAGAGACTTTTATTGTTGAAATTTGTCCAATTGAGCGAATCTGCTGATTTTGAATATGAAAAATTGCTTCAAAATTTTGAAACGTTTTTTGCCATTGTTCTATCGAAAAGTATAGTGCAGAAAAATAAATGAGCGCAACTGGAGCTCTCTAACTCAATTATAGGCGCGAGATATTGAAGATTAAACTTTTTTTTCTAAAAACTTTTTTTTATTCGAATTACGAGTCAATAAGAACGATGAAACAAATTGAACCCATACATTTCGTCGGAAATTCTCTCAGCTTTTCAAAAAAAATATTGTTTTTTTATGTATCTATGTATTTTGGCACAAAAAATTCAAAAAGAAAGTTTCAAACGGCAGTTTGGAACACCAACGATGTACTCGCATATGATCCGAATATCTTCAAAAATAAATAAAATGCAGGAAAATGACCTTCCTTTTTATGATTTATTGAGCATTGCTTAATAGAAATTAAATCTCCTGAATATCATAACCCAGCACAGAACTTAATTCAGAGTCGAAGACATGAAACAAGATATGTCACTCAAGTACGAAAATTAGTTTTTCGACAATATCTCGGAAGGCAAAGGAGATGGGGAGATTTTTGTAGACGTCATTCTTCCGTACAAGAAAGGTTCACCAAGAAATCGATATTTTGTTCCAATGCTGAGATATTGTAAAGAAAATAATTGGCAACTGAATCTGAGGATAATTTTTCAATGAATATCTCTGACTATACGGTAGATAGAAAAATGATCACAATAGCTTTTTTTTTAGAATTCATTCTGTTCTACCAAGAAGATTTTTTAAAAAATTTCTCCATCTCCTTTAGATTTCGAAATATTTTTGAAAAATTAAATTGTTTTTTTCTGCATTTCACTCCTGAGTTTGTGAGAGCACCAAAAATGAAAATATGCTTTTGTTAGGAAATAATCTGAACTTTACGATGAAAAAATTAACAAATAAAAAAAGGTTCGAGACCGACCCCAAATGGTTGTTTAAAACTTTCTTTTTGAATTTTCTGTGCCAAAATACATAGATACATAAAAAAACGATATTTTTTTCGAAAAGCTGAGAAAATTTCCGACAGAATCTATGGGTTTAAAATTTTTTTTATCGTTCTTAGTGGCTCGTAATTAGAAGTGAAAAAAAGTTTTTAGAAAAAAACAAAATTCAAACTTCAATATCTCCGCTAATAATTGAGTTAGAGAGCTCCAGTTGCGCTAATTTTTCTTCTTTTGGGCTATACTTTTCGACAAAAATGGAAAAAAGTTTCCAAATTTTGAGGCCATTTTTCACATTCAGAATTGGCGAATTCGCCCAACGATGAAAAGCTCTCTTAACATTCTCCTCTAAAATCACTTATGGTCGAGATAATTGAATATTCAATATGTGGAAAAATGTGTCTTTTTGTTTTACCACTCTATTATTAATATCATAATTTAAGGAATTCAAGGCATCGAGAAACCAAATGGCAAAAACTGCTAGATCAGAGGGGAAAATTTGAAAATTTATAACTGGTAAAAAATACAAACCTCTTTGATTCTGCTTGGTTCACTGGGTCTCGCAATCAGTGCAACCCCATTGCAAACAACAGCAATATCCTCAACAAAAGCACAATCCGGTGACTCTTCATCTGCCGGCATTTCCACGAAATCAATGTCGAAATCACGTAATAATTGTGCCAATGCTGCGTGTTGATCTCGAGCCTCATCGAGCATGACCTCGCCCTTCGTTTGAATGGAATTAGGAATTCTGCATAGCACTGCGTGTGTATAACGATGCAACGGCATTGTTAATTAATCATACAACTCTTTATTAATCGTGTTCAAAATTGGCTTAATTCGTTTTCTTGGAACCGTTCCACTTTAGTTCTACTAAACTGATGCAATTGATTCACTAGGAGAGAATGATGTCACAGTGTTTGTGATCTGTGATGAGCTGATCAACATCAATAAGATCAAATAAATAGACGAGATGAAAGACGCGTCGTCAAAATATGTACATTCAATTTGTCAATTACTAACGGAGCACTCATAGGCAATGCTGAAAATGTAAGGATGGTGGCGACATGCCACAATTCTTCCGACCCCCGCCACTCGTGTGTGACGGTTGACTTTTTACAGCGCCATCTACGGAAAATAAAAATGGTGGCCAACAACATGCATTACCCCTGCCCTGGTTTTACACCACAAGCCAAATGCTTGCGTTCTCTCGAACCATTTTTATTATGTTTTCTACATCGTCTTTCATATCTAATTTCGGCGTGAGCTACGTTGATAGGCTTTTCACAGTCAGACCAATATTTCACGTTAACTAAGTGAGTCCTTGTTCTAACCAAACAATACATTTATTTCAAAACAATATTTATATTTATTCGATGCTGGGAGTAATCTTAGTATTCTTCTTTCGTCAAATTATAACCACATTCCGGAGAAAAAACAGCGTGCTATTTACTCTGTTCAATGTTGAGTAGTTGGAAAAAAATCATTTTCATACATTTTCATGGTTTCATGAGCCATTTGTATTAGATATTTCAACAGAATCATCTGTTAGAGTAATGAAATTATCAAATCTGCACATACAGAAAACGTTGTATTGATAGTAAAGTACATTCTCAATGGGTTTATTCGCAGGAAGAAACAATTGATGACCACGTCTCCATCTTTGACAGTGACATGAAATAAATTGATGGAAATAGATAATATTATCATCTTAGTGTATTTGAAGGTTGCAGAATCTATCGAACAACTATTGTTATGACTGAAGATTCTGCAAATATGGGATTGGAGGCCGAAATGGCAGTCCCACTCCACCTCCAGAGGTTGGAGAGGAGTTTGAACATCCAACCGTTTCTGAATCAAGTGAATCACTTATTTCAGGATCATCTGAGGTACATTTGTTGATTTTCAATAATGACAATAATTATTTGATGATTTTTATCGAGAGCATAATGTAATTGTTTTTTTAGTGATGATGGGAAATCTATATCTTCAGACTCATCAGATGAATCCAACAGTTATACAAACAATGTCCTAAATCAGAAAGAAGGTATTTAAATTTGATGCACATTTATTAAGATGGTGGAAACATGGATGGATGCTCAATTAAGGCCCAGGTGGATTATATTTCGAATGTTATCTTGATTGTTTTTCGATTTTCATAATGTGAAATATATCACAATTTCCATTGGATTTTACATCACGCAGGAGTCCCTAAAAATTATGATTGTACAATAATAAAAGTAGGAAAAAACAGAACATTTTCAAAAAGGTTTTTCAATAAAGATTAAGGAATAAGTCCGATAGAGAGGAAATAGTGAATGGATAATTTATCATGGTAACTAACGTTCTGACAGCCATTGATTTCCGTGATAAATGACGATCTAACAGCCATTAGATACATCAAATTATTAATTTGCAATTTCTTCTTTATTGGGTTTATTTCCCAATATAATTCAAAAATGCTCTTTGAAAATGGTCAGCTTTTTTTCAACATTTTTTTGATTGTACAATCATAATTTTTGGAAACTCCAGGGTTATGGAAAACTGAATAGCAATAGGAAATCATTTCAGATTATCAAAATGAAAAAAACAACCAAGATCACGTTCCAAAGATAATCCACCAGGACCTTAAATTCAGATATTGCTCCTAAAGTTTTAATCCAGAACTATGCTTCCTAGAAGGTGTCGGCCAGTACTGAAACACTCATTCAGAAATAATGTATTATTTTATGATGAGTTAACATGTTACTACACTTTAAACTTCGTTCCTCGTTTGTTTTACACTCCATCCGCCAAATTGACACTTCCACTTAACTTCATTAATTAATTGATTGAAGCATTTCATTGATGTCCTCGAATATACACATCCTCTAAGGACTGAATTTTTGTATAATGGAATATGGGTGCAAGTGAATAAATAAATGTGGCAAAACAATGAGATACTTTATTAAAATCTCTTTATTTGCACGAGGAAGGTACAAGACAGACAATAACCAAGTAAAAAACTCTCATTGGGAAAACAAAAAGCAAAATAATAAAGTTTTACGACTCAAGAGCACAGTCCTTCAAATTTCAACGTGTTCAGGATTAAGCTGCTCTCCAGTAGAGAGCACAACGGATCGTAAATTAGTCCCTTTCTAGAACTGTTTTTCCAGTATGTTATAAATCTTTGTCGAGTAGTTTTTGTAGAATAATAAAAGAATTGTACTCAAATATTCCAACATGGTACAATGAAAAATATGAGAAATATAAAATTACATATCCATTCATTAATTTTTACATCCATGCTGCTCAATTTTATTCTTATTTGTTTTTTAATTGAAATCCTCACATGGTATCCATTAAAAGAAATTTTTAGCCCATCCATTTATAGTTATGGAGAGAGAGAGGGAGAGCACCTTTTTTCAAAGTGGAAATATTTATTGTTGTAATTCGGAATATTGTCATCAAGTTAGGCCCCAATGTTATGAGTGATATCTGGACGCAAATGAAAAATTTTCATTTCAGAGAACGCATTTTCTAAATATGTCTTGAGATGTATCTCACTGAGAGAAAAGCGACAAAGTTCTCAAACAAGTCTTACTTGTGCTAAGAAAACAGTTTTTCGAAAATTATCAAAAAAGGTTTTGTGCCAAACATGTCGACAGTGCGCCGAGATGAAAAATTTTCGTCACAAAAATAGATTTAGTAGTTAAAAAAAAAATTGCATTCTCTGTACATGCAAGAAATGCCATTTCCAGCATTACTCTTTCATTATTCGATACTCCCAGACGTATTTTGCCCCCGAAAAATGTTCATTTTATGCGAAACAAGGGATAGTAGTTTTTCTTTTTCACTATCTAATAATCACAGACAAGAAATGAACCCTTAAATGGAACAATAATAATGATATGATAGCAATGTTGCAACTTAGGGACAAAATATTTCTTGATAAATTTTCCTCTGTATGAGATATTCTCATCGTGAAAAGGCACCGTCTCATGTGAATCATCTGCCTCTTGAGCCAAATATTTCGTTATTGTCGAAAGCAGAGTAATTATTCAGGTTTGAGACTTTCAATTTTGAACCAAACAACTTTTTTTTGGCAATTTTCAACTAGCGATTTTGTTGGCCCAACCAAGACTTGTTTGAGAACGTATTTTTGTTTTTCTCTCAGTGTACGGGAGTAAATCAGGTAGTTTGGTTCTCATTGAGCACGAAATTTTCCAATTCTTTCAACGATGCCTCATGCAGTTTAATTTCTTAATCTTCTTGTATAAAATAAACGATTCTTAAGTTTGGAATGAAATTCTTATCTGCCGTAAATTTTTCCCTCTGTCGTAGGTGTTGCATTTTTTATTAATAAAACACTAATTCACCTAAGAAAAATCTATGAAATGAACTTCTGTATTTGCACAGACGGGAAGGTGGGGCAAGATGAAACAGGCGTAAAATGACTATTTGACGCAATTTGTTAGAAATAGGATGTCAATTTCTATTAATGATGGCCGGGGTCGGGTGGTGTTTGAAATTATTAAACTCGCGTTGTTTTTTCTGATTGAATTTAATATAATGTGAGGATATTTACACTATTTACAATAGTTGAGTTTCCGTTATTTTGTTGAGCTTCGATTATTTAGTGGACTGTATGTTTATTTCAGATGATAACGTTCGATAATTGTTGTTGATTTCCGTGCTGACTTTCTGCGTGATTTTGATGATAACGAACGACGTGGGTTCAGTTACGAGTACGGTTTATTACTGACTTTTCAGATTTGATAGCGTTCCCCAGTCGGCCCCTCGGTCAAGTTCGGAATTCCGGAATTTTCACGATCTTGAATGACCGACCATATTTGTTAGTTTTGGCTAATTCGAATCGATTCTTATAGAAATGTGGGTCGGATTTCTAACACAATTTAAGTAAAAAAAATTTTTTTATCAACTTTTGCTTGCTAACTTTTTTTATTATTGGGAGTACTGATGAGAATAATAATGTTTTATTGGTCGTATAATTCAATTGATTAGATTAGGGAGATTAAACTTTTTTTTTTCATTCGATTGAAATTCAGTATCACATTTTCCTTTTTCCCAATCTGGGTCTCCCCCTGGGCCTTCCTCTGGACTTTGGATTTTGTTGTTTCATTTGCTTTTCAATTAATGCATTGAGAAAATCTCCCGTCGAAACATTTCAATAATTTCCCATTCTACTGAATGGAAAATTATTATTCTAATCAGTACTCCCAATAATAAGAAAAAGTGAATAAAAAAAATTTTATTTGCTTGAATTGCGTCTAATAGGCGTATTTTCGACTGTTCCATTTTGTCCCATTCACCTCTATCATTTTCAATTAATTGACAGTATAATCATTATTCTTTGATTCAGAGAAAAGAATTAACAACCTGAGGCTCTACAACATGGACTGCGTTGGAGATGAACGTAGATGGTTGCAAGACATTCTGCTAAGTGACTCTTCAGACAATTCACAGTCGGGATCTGACACTGAAGGCCCTATAACAGAAGAGGATTTTCAAGACATGTTAAAATTTCACATTCTCCGTAAGAAGTACCAAGGTCGATTCTACCAGAAACCAGAAAACATACAGTATCAGTATTATGGAGCTGGCTTGCTCTCAACCTGCGATAGGTTTCCTGATCATCAGAAGCTCATCGTGGGCAATAAAAAGAGAAAGGAAAAGAAGTCTGAGAAGAAGACAATCAAAGTGAAGAAAGAGAAGATAATTCGTCACCATAAAGTCTCCGACATGTGTCAGGAGCATGATTATCCTGAGGAGGAGTGGGATAAGATGCTGCGAAAGGAAGAGATAGATGAATCTGAATTGGAATCAATGATGAGGCATCAGCCAAAAGCAAGAGGTAGAAAAAAGCACAACGTTAAAACTCCAGAGATGATGGCCCTTAAAAGACGTAAAATTTGGATAATGATGTCAAAGAAAGAACTTGGTAAAGTCCAGCGAGCAAAAACGAATAACCACAAAGAGATGTTAATCAGTTGTAAAAAAGTAGCCCAACACTGCATGAAGTACTGGCGACAGAAAGCTATGCAGTCCCAGAAAAACATGAAAGAAACCATTTGGAGAGCCAAAAGATTGACAAGAGAAATGCAGTCTTATTGGAAGCGTTACGATAGAGTCGAAAGAGAAACTCGACGACGGTTGGAAAAAGAGGCTGAAGAGCAACGAAAAATGGACGTTGAATTGATTGAAGCAAAGAGGCAACAGAGAAAACTCAACTTTCTGATCACTCAAACAGAATTGTATGCTCATTTCATGTCTAAAAAATTAGGAAAGGTTGCACCTGAAGAGCAACTTCGGATATTGAATCAACTTGATGACGAGAAGAATCCAAGATTGGCTGGAATCGATGATTATGACAGTGAAGCAATGAAACAGAAGGCAAAAAAGAATGCAATGGAGGCATTTGATAATGAGAGAGCCAGAACAAAGCTTTTTGATACACCTTCTTCGTCGCAGGAGCTACGGCTCTGCGATACTCCAGAAAATTTGGAGCATCCACAGCCATCAATTTTTAAGGGTAACTTGAAAGGTTATCAGTTGAAGGGCATGAATTGGTTAGCAAATCTCTATGATCAAGGTATAAGCGGAATCCTGGCTGACGAGATGGGTCTCGGTAAAACCGTCCAGTCGATAGCATTTCTGTGTCACGTTGCTGAACGTTATTCAGTTTGGGGGCCTTTCCTGATCATCTCTCCAGCATCAACTCTCCACAATTGGCAACAAGAAATGGCGAGGTTCGTCCCAATGTTCAAGGTTGTTCCTTACTGGGGAAATCCTCAGGAGAGAAAAATCCTTCGACAGTTTTGGGATACGAAAGACTTACACACGAAAGAGGCATCTTTTCATGTTGTCATCACTAGTTATCAGCTTGTGATAACTGATTACAAGTATTTCAACAGGATAAAATGGCAGTACATGATCCTGGATGAGGCTCAAGCTATCAAGAGTACCAGCAGCATGAGGTGGAAGCTACTGTTGGGCTTCAGTTGTAGGAATCGACTTTTACTGAGCGGCACTCCTATTCAAAATAGTATGGCTGAACTGTGGGCACTCCTTCACTTCATCATGCCCACTCTATTTGATTCTCACGATGAATTCAACGAGTGGTTCTCCAAAGACATTGAGAGCCATGCTGAGAACAAAACTGGTATAGATGAAAAACATCTATCCAGACTGCACATGATATTGAAACCTTTCATGCTGAGAAGAATCAAGAAAGATGTAGAAAATGAACTATCTGACAAAATTGAAGTGATGGTCTACTGCCCACTGACTACTAGACAGAAATTACTGTACTCAGCTCTCAAGCAGAAAATAAGAATCGAAGATCTTCTCCATTATACAGTAGGTGGTAATAGTGGGGATACAGCAGCAAGTGACAAAAATTTCACATCCAATTTGATGAATCTAGTCATGCAATTCAGAAAGGTTTGTAACCATCCTGAATTATTTGAGAGAAGAGATGCCAAGTCTCCACTTTTTATTAACACTGAGAATTATGAAATGCCAGCTATTTTGTACAAAGAGGGGCTACTAGACTTTGCTTTACCCTCCAATCGTCATCTGCTGTACAATAAACTCTTTATTTTTGCTACTGAGTACATTCATCGATCTCTGTACGGCCAAACCATCACTAATTATTTTTCATTCTCGAGGTTGATTGGGATATCTCCTATGGAGTTGAATCAGATATTCATATGTGGAATTTTATATGTCCTGTGCCATGCAACTCTGATGGAGAGAAAAATGAGGATTAAGAAGGATTGGGAGGATTGGGGCGTTGATGAAGCTGAACCTTCACTTATGATCGTCAAGACTTGTGATAAACTGGTGGAGACAAATTCAGATCTCTTTTTCACGAAAAGGATATTCGAGGGTGAGGCAATTTACATTCATACGTCTCACACCATTCACTCAATGGCTGAGACAATGGCACACAGAATACTCAGGAGCAGCAAGCACTCATCCAATTCTATCCTTAAATTTCCCCGTCCTCATTGGGTTATCAAGCCAGAGCTTGGTGAGGAGTCGAAATTAATTCTTTTGCCAGAACATAGACATCACCCAAAGCCACCAGTCATCAGGACTAATCAACTGACAACTGTACCTTATTTCCTCTGTGATAATAGTTCAAAGGTTCAGGCGAGTCCGCGAAAATTGTATGTAAGCAATTCCGCTGCTGCTTGCGCCTGGAGGCAACATGAAGAGAGTGGCGGCACTTTTGGACAAAAAGTCCTGAGGATTGGCTGTGAGCCAGCCCTTATTTCTTCACCGGAAATTGAGCCGTTAATTGGCCTATCAAATCTCAAAACTGCTACGATGTTTTCACATGAATCTCCAGGAGGATTAGCAGCATGTACTCCGATCAATGGGTGGTCCAATATCATTATTCCAGGTGATTTTATTTTCTTAAAAACACTTTGATGGTTTTGATGGTTGGGTGGGAGAACTAAAAAGGATGTGCGTTACTCATTGTACATTTTTCCTTTTGTTTTCTTATTGCTTAATTGGTGAATGTTAGTTATTCCACCCAGGGAGAAAGAGTACTTGGGCAGGAACTGAGTTGAAAGTTGATAAATTTAACTCTTTTCAAAATTCCATATGATCTCTCCAAAAGATTCGTCTTTCTGAACTTTTTAACAATAGCGTTGATGTCGTTATGTTATCAAGGGGGAAGCCATTGCTTTCCCATAATCGTGGAAATGTTGAGAAATTGTCATGTTATCAGTAATATTAATCGTCGGTCCTGTTCTGTTATAAAATAACAGTTATTTCCACTTTCTCTGGAATAACTTAATTGTGTATAAAATTTTTAGAACTTTTTGCATCATTTCAATATTGACGATTGCCTGTTTTACAATTTCTTTTACTTTTAGATAAGCAAACTCTGGTGACAGATGCTGGAAAGCTGTCAGTCTTGGACAGTTTACTGAAACGTCTTAAAGAGCAGGGCCATCGAGTTTTGATTTACTCCCAGATGACAAAGATGATTGATTTACTGGAGGTAATTTTTACAAAAAATATTTTTAGAAATAGATGGATATTTTTTTCTAATTTCAGAGATAATTAAAAAATTTACTTTCTTTTTTCATACAATAGGAGTACATGTATCATCGAAAGCACACATTCATGCGCCTAGACGGCTCATCGAAGATCTCCGATCGCCGTGACATGGTAGCAGACTTCCAGAAAAGGTGAACTTGAATTACAATCATTGTCTTGCATTGAAACAATTAACAGGGACATTGGATACCTGCCAATCGAATACAATGGGTCCACTCCAATTTCTCCATTTGTGTCAGAGGAGCACTATTTTCTCGAGAATTATAATATCGTTATTACCATGATAATATGCAATTCTTGCTGGGTGAACGGTCGGATATCGATCAGGCTCGTGTTTCGCCGGCGCTGAGTTCGGTTAGCATGACGTTTGGATGTTGTTAGCCGGGCGTAACTGATGCACCGAATCACTAATTGGCGAAACGTAACTGCACTCGACTCGTACTTTCATAGTTTTTTTTTCTCTTTCTGATTTTAGTGTACTTTCCTTGATTGAAATATTAACGAAATACTTCACATTCCTATAATTAAAGTGAGAGAATGCATTGAAAAAAATTAAAGGCCAGTCGCTCGTTTCGCTTGCTCTCAGTTGCACTGGGAGAAAAACAAACACGTTCTCAAACAAGTGTTTGAGCCAACAAATTCGCTAGTCGAAAATTGCCAAAAAAGAAGTTGTTTGGTTCGAATTTCAAAGTCTCAAACATGAATAATTGCTCTGCTTTCGACAATAACGAAATATTTGGCTCAAGAGGCGGGTGATTCGCACGAGACGTCTTTTTACGTTGAGAATATCTCTTACAGAGGAAAATTTATCAAGAAATATTTTGTTCCTAAGTTGCAAGATTGCTATCATATCATTATTATTGTTCCATTTAAGGGTTCATTTCTTGTCTATGATTATTAGATAGTCGAAACGGGAAACTGCTATCCCTTGTTTTGCATAAAACGAACATTTTTCGCGGGCAAAATATGTATGGGAGTGTCGAATAATGAAGGACTAGTGCTGGAAATGGCATTTCTTGCCCGTACAGAGAATGCAATTTTTTTAAATTACTAAACCTATTTTTGCGACAAAAAGTTTTCATTTCGGCGCACTCTCTGCATGTTTGGCACAAAAAATCCTTTTTTGATCATTTTCAAAAAACTATTTTCTTGGCACAAGTAAGATTTGTTTGAGAACTCTGTCGTTTTTCTCTCAGTGTAGGATGCGTCTGAATGAATTGTTTGGAGGGGGTCTGACCCATTATTGCTCAAACCAATATCTTCTCGATTAATTCCCTTGTGGTTCATTAGTAAGGAATTGCGAGTTCTGAAAGCTTCATCGAAATAACCGAGCACCCGCTGAAACGGTTTTATCAGAATTCAATTAGATTCAACTTATCTCCAAATGCATTGGTTGAAAAAAAACTAATGCGAATAATTGGAAAACCACTGAGACAATCGAGTTTACAATCTAATCAAGTCTAAATTACATGAAAACTCATGGATTGCATAAGCCACAAGCACTGCGACAGAAGGCGTGCGATAAGTTACATATGACATGGTTATATGCGCTCAAAGTACATCAATGTACTAGTTGGAATATGTCATTTTTAAGGAAGGTGAGATTGACAGGAAAAATTTTGATCATACATACATATACAAATATCAAAACATGAATTTGATTTTGGTGCAGCAAAAAATTACGAGGCGCATGTCAAGAAAAAAAAATCGATTCTGCCAGAAAATAAATTTTTCATCACACTGTCCGTAAAACGTCGTCAAAGAAAAAAACTATTAGCTCAATCGGGCTGAAATTTTGCACAGAGCTAGTTCTCATTAGGACCTATAATCTGACAAAATTTCGTATTTTTTTGGAATTACTTTAGCCACTTAATTACTCAATTTTCTAAAAATTGACCACCGGGAAGGTGGCGGTGGACGTGGTCGCACACAGACATGGTCGCCAAACTTCGTATTTTTACATTTCAGACCCCATACTATATAATTTCCAATCAAAATTAGGGAATGTGAAAATCGAAGGATTGCACTGCTTCCATTCGAAAGCAAAAAGAACACAAAAACACTGAACATTTTCGAAGAGCGTTTTTAATAAAGATTAAGAAATAAGTCCGATGTAGAGGAAATAGTGAATGGATAACTTATCATGGTAACTAACGATCTGACAGCTATTAGATACATCAAATTATTAATTTTCAATTTCCTCTCTATTGGGTTTATTTCCCAATATTATTCAAAAACGCTCTTTGAAAATGTTCAGCTTTTTTTCAACGTTTTTTTGATTGTACAATCATAATTTTGGGAGATTCCAGGGCTATGTAAAACTGAATAGCAATTGGAGATCATTTCAGATTATGAAAATAAAAGAAACAACCAAGATCACGTTCGAAAAATAATCCTCCCGGGCTTTAACTGTAATTAAAAATTATGATTATGCCGATGTCTGATAGAAATTAATAAAATCATGAATATGCTCCATTAACTCGTTGCGGTAGCTCACGGTACCCCACTTTGTGCCTTCTTGTAGTAGTATGGCATGCGACCTCGTGTTTCTCTTATAATACTCTGATGGACCCCACTCGCAACAATGGAGACCATGGAGACAACTTGATTAAAATTCAATAACCAAGTTGATGGAGTAGTTGGAGAGGTTCCATATCCCTGTACTCAGTTATAATACCTCATAACACATTTTTCAAGACTTACAGAAAAAAAAATTCCGTAAAACTTCATCTTCTACCCAAATAGTTTTACAGTTATATTACGGGTGCAAGCAATAATTCAGCGAGGTAATAATGAGGAAAAAAAAGGCAAGTAAAGCGGGAGTGCCGCCGAATCTTGAGCACGATCAGGCGGGCCTTTGGCCGTTTACCTTCCGCCCCAGAGTGGAAAACCGTCAAGTGCACGAACGGAATACCCGAATTAATTTACATACAAATATAATGCTAGTTGGGTTCGTTGCTCGCAACACTGAATCTGCGTTTGGGTTTTTGTTTCATGTTTCAGGGCGGACATATTTGTCTTCCTACTGAGCACGAGAGCTGGTGGCTTGGGAATCAACCTTACTGCCGCTGACACGGTTCGTATATCAAATGTTTTATACTAATCGCATCTTAGGCGTCTCTCTCCCTCCTTTTATCACCCGAAATTCAATGAAGATGCACAATATACATCTCCTACACTGAGAAGACAAAAGTTTTTTTAGAAGTACGTCTTTACTTGATTAAGAAATTCATGACTTGAAAATTACCAAGCGAACAATATTTCACACTAAGAGAAAAAAATCTTACGCTAAGAAATTATATACTTGTCCGAAAGATGAGGGCAATTGGTTTATATCAAGAAGATGAGCTCTCAAATTAATTCAAGTAGTTTTTGCATTAAAATACTTTAGAATTGAGGCTAAAAAACTATTTAATTAATTAATTGAATTTCACTTGGTTTGATAAATCGCTTTCTTGTCATCAAGAAATTGTCCTCGCTTTTAGGACAAGTACAAAATTTGTTGACGAAATTTTTTTTTCTGAGTGTAAAATATTTTGCTGTTGAAAATTTTCAAGCCACAAGTTTCTTGATATAAGTAAAGACGTAGTTCTCAAAAAACTTTGTTTTTCTCAGTGTAGGACATCGGTCAAATATATGTCAAATATAATACTTTTGATACTCGTGGAGTATTAACGGTATCATCGAGGTTTTCGTACGGGAAATGGAATGAATATTGTTGTTATCGTGGTGGATGTGCCGTGCACCAAACCGAGACCGTCTCTTTTTTTTTCGCCATTTGGTTTAACAACAACGCTGAAGAGTCACGGATAAACTTTTCGGTATCCACATTTATCGATTCAACAAATTTTATTCATTCTTTCTACGTTATGCATATGGTAGTCAAGGAATTATCTGCCATCAAGTCGATCAATGGGGATATACACGAAGAATCCAACATTCTTGCACAGATCTTCGTGCTTCTCTTTTCGATTAAAGAAATTTTATGGAATTTCATTGGGGAGGGAGGGGCAAAATGAAACAGTGGTACAAAATGAAATAGCCGAAAAACGATTTGACGCAATTCAAGCAAAAAATTTTTTTTTCATCAACTTGTGTTTATTAACTTTTTTTTATAATTGGGAGTACTGATGAGAATAATAATGTTTTATTCGTCTTATAATTCCGTTGATTACAATTCAATTGATTAAATTAGGCTGATTACACATTTTTTTCATTCGATTGAAATTCAGTATCACATTTTCCTTTTCCCAATCTGGCTCTCCCCCTGGGTCTTCCTCGGGACTTCGGATTTTGCTGCTTCATTTTCCTTTCAATTAATCCGATGAAATCGAAAAAATCTTCTCCCATCAAAACTTCTCAATAATTTTCCATTCCACTGAATGGAAAATTATTATTCTAATCAGTACTCCCAATAATAAAAAAAAGTTAATAAACAAAAATTAATTTTAAAGAATAGTTAATAAAACAAAATTTTTTTGCTTGAATTGGGTCAAACAGTCGTATTTTTGACTGTTTCATTTTATTCCACAATGAGAGAAAAACGACAGAGTTCTCAAAGAAGTCTTGCTTGTGCCAAGAAAATAGTTTTTTGAAAATGATCAAAAAAGGATTTTTTGTGTCAAACATGCAGAGAGTGCGCCAAGATGACAAATTTTTGTCGCAAAAATGAATTTAGTAGTAGTTAAAAAAAATGCATTCTCTGTGCATGCAAGAAATGTCATTTCCAGTACTACTCCTTCGTTATTTGATACTCCCATACGTATGTTGCTCCCGAAAAATGTTTATTTTATGTGAAATAAGGGATCGTAGTTTTCTGTTTCGGTTACCTAATAATTATTGATAAGAAATGAATTCTTAAATGAAACAATAATAATGATACGATTGCAATCTTCTAACTTAGGGACAAAATATTTCTTGATAAATTTTCCTTTATATGAGATATTTTCATCCTGAAAATGCACCGTCTCGTATGAATTATCCGCCTCTTGAGTCAAATATTTCGTTGTTGTTGAAAACAGAGCAATTATTCATGTTTGAAACTTTCAAATTCGAACCAAACAAATTCTTGTTTAGCAATTTTCAACTAGTAATTTTATTGGCCCAAACAAGACTTGTTTGAGAACGTGTTTGTTTTTCTTTCAGTGCACTCTCCCCTATTTCATGGGGTATATATTTTTTCAATATCAACACTCCGTAACTCTATGGATCATAATTCGTGCTAGGGGTGACGTCCTAACATCGCGCGGGATCTTTGTATGCCCGCTTCATTTTCGAATATCATCCAACGATAATCAACACCACCAAAACTACATACATATTTACTTTTTCTTTTCTTGTTCCAATTGAAAATTCCCAATTCTCATGGTTAACTCATCCCAAAATTTATATTTTTTTTATCATACTTGAATACTCACGCAGCGCATATAGTTCTTCGCAGCTCATTTGCATTGACCTTTGAGTGGCCGCCACTCTTTACAAAATGTAGTTAGTCGCATAGTTGGTAGTTGGCATAGTTGGTTGCTGGCGAAAAGTATTCACTTTCCTGTCACTTCTCAAAAAGCCAAATAGTAGGTGACCCTTGGGCGGGGAAGATATGACGTTTCGCGCTTAGTGCACAATATATTTTTTTTCATTCCAAGTACCTACTCATAACTTGCCAATTTTATAGATTACTTGATAAGAATATTGCTTCGACATAGAGCGACTCAAATCTACACTGATAGAAAAAATTATTTTTATTCAGATGTTTCTTTCTTGCAACAAGTATTACATACTTGAACCAATTTCAAATAAATAAGATCTTACGGTGAATATCAATTATGTCTTCTTGATACATTTACTTGAATCAAATAAAACAATCCTTGTCGTCAAGTCACACGTATTCACCACAAAAATGGAAAAGTTCTTTTTTTTTTACCTAATATAATCTCCAGTCGAGAAATTTTCTACTTTCATGAATTGATCAAAAATTTGTACCTAGGAGATGATTACATTGGGGAATGAATTGAATGTTGTTTTCTCGAATGAAGTCGATGTTTAAATTGAGCTTTTCGTACATCACATTGAATGAAATTTGTGTTATCCAAATTTGTATAGAATTGCCCTAAACTGTGATTCTGTTATTGTAAACTAATGCGATTTTTTTAGTCAAGAAATATGAACTTCTTTGAATTCAATGACATCTTACTACAATTTCAAAGCTTTTTCCGCGTAACAGTATTCATCCTGATTCGGCATACGTAATGCTCACTTCAATTATAATTTACTTGGAACAACGTATGATCGTGTTGATTGAGATAACAACGTATTTAGTCATGAAAATAATGTTGATTTTTGAGTAAACCAACCAATTTCTGGAGCTACCAAACTTTTGGCTAGAAACAAAAAAAATCCTCTCATTATTGCGACAAATAAAAGGAACTTCAATTCTAGAGAAGTTCGATTGCTCCCAATAAAATGAGATTTCTCTCAGTATGAAATCATGTTCATTTGAAAATTAACTACCAAATGATAGTTGGTTCAGATAAAATTCTCTTGACAAAATTAATTTTTTTTGTTAGTGGAGAGCTGACGCAAATTTCTGGTGAACTGTAATAATTGGAGTAAAAATGGGATGGAAGATATGTTGCATATCCAAATTGTATATTACCTTACAAGATATTCAATTGCATTTTCTCTCCTGTTATAGAATAGGAGGTTCAAATGAGAAAATTTGTTCTTCAAATTAGGTTGAAAATACTCGGAGAAGTATGAAGAACTGTTGGATTTCACGGTTAGACTCACAACAAAAAATATAAAAATTGAAATCATATCTTTCCAGGTGATTTTCTATGACAGCGATTGGAATCCAACAGTAGACCAGCAGGCAATGGACAGGGCCCACAGATTAGGTCAGACAAAACAAGTTACTGTTTACAGGCTCATTTGCAAAGGCACGATTGAGGAAAGAATTTTACAAAGGGCACGTGAAAAAAGTGAGATTCAACGTATGGTGATAAGTGGTGGTAATTTTAAGCCAGATACACTGAAGCCAAAAGAAGTAGTCTCACTTCTTCTAGATGATGAAGAGATCGAGGCAAAATGTGAGTTTTATGATAAATATATCCTTAAATAAAAAAAAAAATCCCTTGATGACATATGGTGTGGTTTGCACATATACACAAAAGAACACTGTTACCCCAATTACACATTATGCTTGTTGGTTATGCTAATAACCTAATGGCGAATAATGATAACGCCTAAGTAACGAAACGAGGTGGGCCCCCATTGCTGTATCGAAGGGGGTCCACGTACGTATATTTCAGACAGCCAACGGAGCGAGGAAAGAAAGCAGCACGTTACTCTGGAGGATACTCGAATCGACTCCAGTATACAACACAAGGAAAAAGAACGGAAAAGGAAGCTAACCGCGGTTCCGGTCAAGGTAAGACTCGCGCCCTTTCACAATTCAATCAGTCATTCACATTTATTCACATTCACTTTAATGTTTACTATGTGCCGATGAATTTTTCTTTCAAGGCTGATGTCAAACGTTCATGCTTTGAGGACAATGCTGCGGAAAAGTTGTATGAAGTTTCGTCTATCATTTCTACCGGTGAACAGACAAGTCCCACTCAGCAAAACAATGATCAACAGACGGTGGAGAGTAATGAGGATTATGCAGTTCCTGGCAGTCCTATCAAATCTGAGGTATGATATAATTCTTTAAATTGTAGGAATGGAGGGAAAAATGTTTTCCTTCCCACGCTTCCACAATTCAGTTGTCATTTGGAAGAGTGGGGCAAAATGAAATTGCAAAATCCAAAATCCAGAGCAAGGCCGAGGTGGAAATTCAGAGGGGGAAAAAGGAAAATGTGATGCTGAATTTCAATCGAATAATCCATTGACAAAATCTTTGCCCATCAAAACTTCTCAATAATTTTCCATTCTAATGAATGGAAAATTGTTATTCTCATCAGTACTCCCGAGAATAAAAAAAAGTTGACAAAAAAAATAAAAAATAAAACTTTTTTGCTTGAATTGCGTCAAACAGTCGTTTTCTTACTGTTTCATTTTGCCCCATGTTTCATTTTGTTCCATGTTTCATTTCGCCCCACTCTCCCCTAGAGTTGAAAAAAATGGGAAACAACTAACTATCGGAGAAATTGCGAAACGATTGGTAAAATTGAATGGGTTAATGTGGATCAGATTGAGGAAAATACGCCCCAATCTAAAGGAGATAAAAGAAGTCTTCATGGAGACGTTTTTTTTTCTAAATATATAATTAGTTTCTACATGAGACATTTTTCTCGTTCTTTTGAATGTCGAATATTTTCCAGAAGACACATCTTGTAATTTGTTTTCGCCAATATTTCGATCCCAAAACCATCAGCTGAGTGCAAGCTATTCTATCACAATATCCAAGTAAAATGAACTCAAAATGCAATATCAATCATTGCTATTTACAACATGCGTAGGATGAAACGAGTAACGAAGGCCTCGTAGTAGACGTTGACGGGCCAGTTTATGGTCCAAACTCCCCCCGCCAAGTACGCGGTGTCTTCTTCAATGAGCCTCCAAAAGTCTCAAAACTCGGTCATCACTTTAGTTTCGGAAACGTTCCGAGAATACGCACAGCGATACGAGGTACAAGTAAACGTGGAAGACCTCGGGGTTCGCGACGAGGCGGTCCAGTTGGTGGTAAAGGCAGAGGGATGCTGATGCAACCTCCTCTCGGCTCGTTACCAAATTCACCTGGCACATCGCAATTCTTACCCTCATCGTCCACTGGCGATCCGATGGCTCAGCATGGTAAGAAAACAACAAAAAACAATACTAAAACATGATATTTAAAGGCTAAGTAAGCATGCTGTGTAGTCCTATGCACCTGCGAATCGTTCGTGACATTCGCGTGCCGTAGAGTTAATGCCGATCATTTCGGTCGGATGATCTCAAAAAGGAGAGTATAAAAAAAGCCCACAAACACCCATGATGATCTATAAAGAGGGTTCGGTGGTCCGATTACTCGACTGACGTTTCAAGATCGATCGGTTTCATTTGCGTTTATTTCTTTTCATGTCATCCGAAGCAGTCAGCTTCCCTTTACAGCCACTTGGTAACATTCTCATGGGGCTAACAGGAGGGTTCGCTTTGCACCCTCAGTTCTCCATACAACCATTCATCGCTCCCCAATTTTTCTCTCTCACTTTGACCTATGAAGCAGTGCCGAGTCCTGGAAATTCCCTCGCGACCACATGTGCTTGCACAAGTGCTTTAAACAGTTGCGACTTACTCCCCTGACACTATTCTCAGTTCCCCGATGGATCCGTAAATAAAAATTGTACCGTTGCTACTGCGGACGAATCCGGCAACTATCTTTCAAATAAAAAGCCCTACCCACTATTATACAACCCCTCAAAAATATTTCGTGACTCACTAATCTTTGATAATCCCTTAAATTTTTTCCCTTTACAGTGCCAAGTACATAAACAGAATATAAAAGTACGAAGGAAAAATGAGGGGATGAGTTTTTCGTCACTTTTACGTGCGATCAATTCCCCTCCATTAAGTGAACCCGTAGAAGATAAATATTATTTTTTCACAGATGTATTTGGCCAGAAAAATTTACGGTGTGATCTGTTTGGGGGAGAAAAAAATTATACGTCTTTTTTTTCTTGATTTTTCGTTACATCCATTTCCTTCAAGCTTGTCATGTGAAGGAAATCGGGCGCAGTGTACGGGCGAAGACAGGGGGCCCCTTTTGCGTTCGGGCGTAAGTCGATAATAGCAGGTGCGTAGCAACGATGGCAGCTGCGATCGATGCTCTTCTTAGGTTTTGGAACTCGTTGGCACTGCCACTCTTTTTCATCCTCTCAGCGCACACCTTACCTTATCTCTTTTTCATTTCTTCATAATTTTTCCATTTATTTTTACCTTTATTTTCTTCGTCACCCGGTGTATTGTCATTTTAACCAGTAGCACACGTATCATATTCTTCATTAGTGTTAATTCAGTAATTTCTTTTTTTTTTACAATATATGTTGGAACTCAAACTGACTGATTTTTGCACTCAACGCAGTCAGAAAATATATTTATGAACCACCTTGTAGAATGCTCGTTAGTGGAATAATAAGAATATTCGAGAGTCTCTCCTTTCACCGTTCATTTTATTTATCATACAAGGCAACGCGAAAAACAAAAATTCTTTTCATTTTCTTTTTTTTTTTACTTTGGTGAGTATTTATTGTTGCTAATTGGCATCAAAATGTCTCAGGCGTGTATGGCCTTATGGGACCGGCGGATGGTGATGGCCCAAGTACGGTGGGCCCTCTGGGTAATCAAATGACTCCTGGAAGAGGTTTGCCCGTGGTGAGGAGAGGGCCGGGTAGACCGAGGTTGAGACCTGCTGGTCCTGGTAATCAGGGATATCGAGCACCAAGTCAACACTATGGAAAAAGAATACAACGACCACTTCCGGTGCCACTGAGATCCCATCACTTGTCGAGTTCAACACCAGCCAATCCGACTACCAATCCAGTCCCAGGTGTTCTTTCAGAGCAATCGGGTACCTCAGGAAGTTTCACTTCCGAATCTAGGCCTTTTGGATTTTATACTCAGCAAGGGAAGAATCAAATGCAATAATATGCGTAGTGCATGTGTACAAAGGAGTTAAACAAAGTGATTGGAATTGATGTGAAAATATTCCTTGAATTGTAATTAATTTTTAAATATGTCACTTCCGTGAGATATCACGTGAGGCTCAGTCGATTTTGAAGTTTGTTCTGCCTCAGTTTAATCATCGGAACTGAATCAAATAAATGTTGACTCTCGTCCTTCATCGCTTCATGCGGTATAGTCAATGTAATTTTGAGCGTCTCGTTCTATTGTACTGAATTTTGAATAAATCTAGAATATTTATTAGGAAATGAATTCTAACATTTTTTTAACATCATTATTTTTCCAGTAGTTTTAAAGATTTTGATGATATATTATAATGTGGAACGTCAAAATCATGCTTTCCCATGGGAATTCGAAAAAACATAATTATGAGAGTATAATTCTTTTGTTATACTAGATCATTTTTATATTCTCTAGGTACATTCCCGTTGACTCCATTAGAACGATTCCTATCAAGGTTGGATGCGACCTTCTGTGTTTCTTCATTTTTGTGATGTTCAATCCAATGCCGGTATTCGTACTACCTAGGAATGCTTTCTGATCATTTTTGATCTGAGGCACACTTCGTGTTCCAAACTGACCTTAATTTTTATGTTCGGTTATTTTTTTGGTGATTTTCTGTCATCTAATTTAAGTGTTTTTCTCACTTGCGAAGAAGGGGTGGGTGATTAAATGAAAAAATCGTATAGAAAAGTTTCAGTCATTGACGAATAATCGTAAATTTTTTCATCTGATGAAACACTTTATGAATGTTTTCTCATGAACTAACTGAGAGATTTAAAATTATAGTCATTTTTTTAACAAATTGAATAGTCTCTGGCTGCGTTTCGGAGGTTTGAACGAGATAGTGAGCTCTCACCTTCCGTAAAATAATGCTTAAATAAAAAATCGAGTGCTCTATCTGGATGAAAACTTACCGTCAAAATTTTTTCGCGCGACTTTCGTGATGTGAGATTTTGTAATTTTTGTTCTGACCGACTATCGTTAGTAATTAGCTCGCGGTCTGTGACGTGTAATTGACATGTAAAATGACGATGAATTGGCCGGTCAGTTTTTTCCATTGCATCCCTAGCTCTACCTCTTCCCAAACGCCGCTGAACGGGCTAAAACGTTTTTCTTTTGAGTAGGGAGAAATAATGTGAAAATTATTATATGTAGCCTCTCTTTTGACACGTATTCTTTTATAGGAAGCTCTAGTTTTTCTCAGGAAACAGACATGCGGTGATGTGTTGACCATCACCATTGAAGTTTCCACTTTTTCGACAATTTTTCTATCACTCCGTTCAACGATTATGTCCATTGGAAAATTGTCTCCATATACGTAAACAATCTTTACCAATGCCATTCAAAATCTTAGATAAAAACAAACCAGTTTTATTAAATTGGTACACATATTGTTGACTGATATTGATTGATTAGAAATACATTTACACCTTGTGGCGTGTAATTACGGGCTATCTTTGAGCTTAAAATAATTGACTAATTCGGAATTTAGGTGTATTCGACGCCTGTTTAATATTTCAGGGCTGCAGATTCCACACTTGGCCCACATGCCAAAGTAGCAACTGTCTGGCAGCTGTTGATGATCAGTAAGAAACCAGTGTCATTAGGGATCGTGATTGCCACTGTTGTTTTTCTACCCTCGGTTCTTTGATGGCCATGAAAACACAAAAATTGATGATTATTTCACGCCTTGAATTCTCGATAATTCATCCATCATAGAGAATTATTATGCCAGCGGGTGTTTCAAGCTCATCGTCTCAATTATAACACACCCTCATTGCCTCAATTAGAAAACGTTAGAAAGTCACCAATTGTTCCGTAATTTCGAAGCTCTGTATAAGTTTGGAGTCAGTTGGGTAATTTCTCGAATATTTTCTAATTTTTCGCCCACGAGTATTTTTCCCCCATATGATTAAGGGGAGACTACTATAAGTTTTAAGTCGCGAGATATTGCAGTGAGATTTTTCACGCATTGAAGATCGATTATATATGTCTAAAAACGAATACTTAGTGCAAAAAATCAATTGTTTATTGTTCGTTTGTTCTGCAGACGCTTGAAATTTAAAAAATGTTCAGAGCCTTCAATTTTTGAGCTATAGAAATTTTTTTTCTCAAAATTTTTGACAAAATGTATGCAATAACGATTACGAATTGTTTTTTTTTTAAATTAAACTCCTACACAGCTAATTTCATTTTGTTTAATATAAAAATTTGCTCCATTCATGTAAAATGGGCAGAAAAATTCTCCTTAAAATATTTAAAATATATTCTCGATTCTTTCAGAAATATTTTTCGGGCTATTTTACATGAAGGGTGTAATTTTTGGTTCCGAATAGAAGCATTGCAATCCTTCGATTTTCACATATTCTAATTTTGATTGGGAATGATGTAGAATGGTCTGAAACGTAAAAATCCGAAGTTTGGCGACCATGTCGAAAGTAATTCCAAAAAATTTGAAATTTTGGCAGATTATAGGTCGAGTTAATAGTTTTAGGAAAGAAGCGATTTATTTTTAAATAGTTTTCCGCAAATATCTTCATAACTAGTGGACCGATTTGGATTTTTTTTCAAAATATTCGTTTCGACGCCGTCTATCTAAATCATTAAAGACATATATACTCATTCATACAAAGTTTTGGAGATATTCCCGTTTTCCTGTTTTTTCATAAAAAAAAACGTTGTAAACACACTAGCTTGTGCAAAAATCGAGATATCAACTTGAAACTTGGACAGAAAATATGTATACCCGCTCATATGAAGTATTCGAAATATTAGAATTTTGATAGCACCCATGGAGGTGGCAGTAACCATCTGAAATTTTTGCTGCTAGTTAGTGCTGTGAAGCTATAAACTTTTGTAATATTTCAGATCATTCAGAAGCCCGCCATCAATGTATCGATGGCGAAAAAAAATGAGACATCACTCTGTGACATGCTCACTGTCAGATGCCGCGTTGTCATATGCTCGCTGTCCCCGCTTGTTTATTAAAATAATAACGAAATTAGCTATGTAGGAGCTGAATTTCAAAAAACTAATTCGTAATTGTTATTGCACATATTTTTCCAAAAAATTTAGAAAAATAACCTCTGTAGCTCAAAAATTGGACGCCTAGACTATTTTTAACATAACACAAGCTTTTGTGGGGTAAACGAACAATATAAAATTAGTTTTTCTGCACTAATTATTCGTTTGTAGATATACATAATTGATCTTCAATTTATGAGAAATCTCACTCCAATAGAGCTCGCGACTTTCAAAACTCATAGTAGTCTCCCTTTAACACATGTTTTTCCTAGAATGGCGATTCTATCTTTTTCCCACTAATATCTTTGAAAGTTCTGTAAAAACAAAACTCTTGTGGAAATATGATACTTTTCTCAGCATTTTTTTCCGGGCACTACGTTCATTAGTGTAATAATTGTTATACGAAAATTGATGTTTTTATTATTCCTTAATATACGGGGTATACAATATACACCGGGGTATACATTATTTCAAGATCTTTTCATTTTCACAGAATTTTTAGAAATATGTTAGTGGGAAAAACAATAGAATCATAATTTCCTAAGCAAAGCAAAAACAAATGCTAAATAGTAGAGTGATAGCTATAAATTTTTTAATGATCTAAATTATTGCAATATCGCGAAATTTTCATAGCTTTTCAACGAGTGATACATTGTTATTTAGAATGGCTAGACAGTTCAATGGCCGTTTCTCCTATGCAGTATGTCGCCAATGTCTGTTGGGGAAGCCGCCTGATAAATTACATTGCTGCATTTTGATTGGGATTATTCAACACCCAATTTTGTAATAAAAAAATCAAATTTGACATATTAATAGAAAACTTTATATAGTAAATTTCAGGCTCCATTTTTGTAATTTTTTTCAGTATTACAATGGTGACGTATCGGGAAATGGATAAGTCAAGCATCTTTGGATTCACACATTATGTCTCCAAAGTTTTTATATATATATATATATATATATATATATATATATATATATATATATACAATATATATATGTAATAAATGTATAAACATAATGTATAATGTATGTATGTCCGAATACAAGCAGGTGCACGGAGAATAAACTCAGGCATTTAGTGCCAATGCCATACAAATTTACTGCGCCAGTAGTACGCACGCGGGTAGCAAAATTACTCTACATATACAACATTGGTCAATTTCCCATTGATAATATCCCTTCAACATACTCTGAGCCGGATGATTCCGAGGTCACTGTGCATTCATACTTTGTTTATACTTGGGTATATTCTGTTTTCCATGACCTCCTCTGGAGTAAATCGACTTAATGCAGTCCGGATGCGGGTGTCCAATGTCATATTTGTCATCAAAGAATTTATATGAATATTCGTTATTATACGATCCACAAGTGACATTTCTTTGAAGCTGTTCCAGAAACCTAAACTAAGACGAAACACCTGCCCATCAACTTCAAAACGGTGGAGCCATCGTAATGTCTGCACCCAGAAAATGGAACCCTCGTGTCTCTCTTTCTCTTTCATTTTTTACGCTGACCGCATACATATTCATAGATATTCACAGCTGAGTTTTTTGTTCCTGATGAAAATGTAGAATTTGGGATATAATGTAGGTTGGGCTGGACTCAACTCGGAGATAACCAACGCCCGCGGGTTGATCAACGTCATACGACCTACTGGCATTACATGACCATAAGAAAATACATAAGTAATTAGTGCGTCCGGTATGCTCGCACGTGCCTAATGAATAAATAAATGAGCTTAAGGGGTCGGTAAACTCCTTCGGGGGGTAATAAACTTGATGTACTCTAGCGTGAACATTTCATGTTGGTTTCCTTCGTTATTTAAGCATTTGAATATCTCCCAGAAAATTGAGGAACAAGCATAGAATGCTCTTCTTTCCATCGCGGAAATATATTACGAAAGAGACAACATGAACTTGAAGGCATCAGGTACACTATTCTTTTTACTACGAATCGACGTCGTCAGCGTCTCAAGCGTCGTCGGCGTCGGCGCCACCGAGCGTACTTCCTGCGTTGACCGGAAGTCGCGAGTCAGAGGCTCGGCTCTACTCGGCGTTACGCTTCCTTACGCGTATCTACCGTCTCGGTGGCAGTTCGCGCTCCAACTCTAGCTCGTCTGAGTCGTTTCACCCACCCCATGTAGTTGGACACAACCAACGTGGAAGGGCAAATATATATATATATATATATATATATATATATA